ACCCAACCCCAACCCCTAACCCATTTCAGCCAGAAAACACAACTTTTATTGCAGAGCTCAGATTTTGAAAAGAACTTTATTTTTATGTTCCGCAGGGTGGAAAACATTGAAAACCCTCATTTTCGGATCCAAGCATTCCCTGAGGAGATAAACCTAACCCCAACCCCCCCAAACCCCAACCCCCGAAACCCCTAACCCCCAACCCTTAACCCCAACCCCAAAACCCCTTAACCCTAACCCTAACCCCCAAATCCCAACCTAAACCCCCCACCCTAAACCCCCTTAATCCCCCTAACCCCCTTAACCGTTCTGCCTCTTAACACTGAAGCCATCGTTCTCCTTCTTACCTCACTTTCAGGTTCGGTCTTTTGAAGTGCGATGTCTTTTCCTGTTCATCGATTGATGCCTTCGGCCTCGTGTTGTCCTATTAATATTAATAACGTATTAATAATAAAGATCCAGGATAACAGTCCCCTTTTCCCTGTTCTCCCCGTTATTCCTTCCAGGACCACAAGATGGCGCTGTTTCCTGTTTCCCTTAAAAAGGCGGCCGAGAAAAAAGCCCGCTTCAAAAATGCCCTCCAAAAAGTTCTTTTTAAAAAATGTGACTACGGTACCTGCTTTTCTGTCCCTTAACGAGAGCGTTTGAGCTTTCGTAATACCGTATTAATGTTAATAATGAGGCGTTTCAATTAATAATTATTCGGAATAATAAACTTTAAAACCAGAGTGACGAAAAAGTCGCTGCGCGAGGAACTGAGGGGGAAGACTAAAAAGAATGGGCGGGAAGTCGGCCGCCACAGAAAGGTCGTTCTTCTCAGGCATGGGGGGAACAGCCACGGTGAACGGACAAGAAGTTCTCCGTGCCGAAAATGTCCGCGCGAAAGGAAGTTGGGGGGACGACTTAAAAGGCGGGACGGGAAGTCGGCCATGATGGAATACTCATTTTTCAAAGGGACTGGGGGACGGTCGCGTAGAACGGACAGGAAGTGCACCGTGCCGAATAGGTCGCTGCGAAAGAAAGTTGGGGGGACGACTAAGAAGAAAGGAGGGGAAGTCGTCCGTGATGGGATGGTCGTTCTTCAAAGGCATTGGGGGACGACCGCGGACGACGGACAGGAAGTCGGCCGTGCTGGGAAGGCCGCTGCGAAAGGAAGTTGAGGCCATCAAAAAGGCCTACGATGACCTCGGTGTTAATGCTACGAGGCGGAAAACTTTGCCGTCCTGTGGTCAAAACGGGTATTGCGGCCACGAAAAGAAACCTTTTTAATGGGATTTCCAGATTATTCTCCTGTATCTTTATTATGAACGCCTTATTCATATTGATAGGGCAACGGGAGGCCCGTTTGCTGCAACGCGGGAACGAGAAATAAAACCTGCTTCGAAACTCTTAAACCGAGTCAAGGAGGACTAGGATGGCCTATTAAGATTAATAAGATTGGGGCAGAGGGGTGCAGAAATGGGACCAGGGAAAGAAAAGCGGCGCTGGCGGAACGCACTGGGTCGAGCCTAATCCAGCTTTCCTTTGCTCTCCGAATCTTAAAGGTTCTGGGGCTGCGCGCTTGTCGAGCCGTGAGTTTCATACCCGCGCGGTTGTGACGGCTGTATGCAATAATCCAAAATTTAATCCTAGGTGTAACGGGAAAGAGTTTTTTTAACTGTGCCCCGTGAATGATAAATCTAGAGTCGGGGATAATTGTATTACAAATATTGGCCGTAGAATTCGGGATTCCGTTATTGATTGCAACGTTAGCTTCGTTCGTAGTGATCTCTCGGTGATAAGAGCTTGTCCTTGGCTTATGACCCTAACGCGGTCCGCGCAAAGGGATGACCTCTGAAGGAATAGTAAGAAGACCGTGACCCCGGGGCAGATGACCCCGGTAACGGCCTGGTCCTCAAATTGCCCCAAAGGGGACATTGGCCTGAATTCTGACCTGCGTTGAGGAGACGCCCGTTGCTTTTTGGATCCGTCTCCTGGAGGCTGGAGTTGCCTAGAGCCCCCTGAATGTAAGCGACCCCGAAGGCCAAGGGATCCTGGCCTTGGCATTTGTTGATGAATCGGCTAATGACATTTCAGACAGTAACTGGTCGACTGTGGAAATGTCAGGCGTGACCCACTAGTGTGGGGGTCTCTCAAAGATAGACCCTCAATGAGGAGGCTCGGTTCACAGGTCTCCACAAAAATGTGAATGAATCAGCTTTTGAAATGCGCTCATGTCCAAAAGGAAACGTCTGCGACTGAGCATTCTTGTACTGTGCCCCCTGCCCCGTCCCCCCAATTTACGTCCCTCCTTGAATCCTGAATTGCTACACTGGTTAACCGGTAACCTTTTAACGGCCAGTGGGCCGTCGCATACGCCAGACCAGGAAAGGGGGCGGTTTTTTCAAGATCTTATAAAAAACAATTTTATTAAGCGAATGTCGGAGGATGTGGGCTAATTCCCCAGCTCCTAACCTGCTGTACATTTTTCCCGGGGGTGCTAACTATGCCTTCCTGTGCTCTGCCGTCTGTGACTTGGTGCTGCTTTTTTTTCTCGCCCCTTGGGGAGTGTCTTTGCTCGCCAACTAATGTTGAAACAAACCTACAGAACTGGGAAAAAACAAAATAAAGGCGAGGGCTGTATTGTTTTAAAGGTGGAAGGCTTTGGAAGAGAAGACTTGACTGATAGCTTCCGTTGCTTTTAAGTTTCGGCTTCAGTTCTTCTGGATGGTGTGGTGGGAAAGTTTGAAGAGTGCACGTTGAGTGTTTTAGTCCAAAGCCAAAAATTAAAATCGAAACCTCTCTTATTTGGATCTGAAAAATATTTCCTTTAATTGTAAGCATCTTACTGTGGGGAATTTGTGGGGATGAAAGGGAGGGGCTCAGAGTCTAAGGTTTCTGCTCGGTTCTCGCTCTTTACGTCACACGCTGGAAATGTGAGAAGGTGCTCTGGAAAAGGCCGTCAGTCTGTGGGTTCTAGAACTGACTCGCTCAGAGCCAGATCCCAATAATGCTCCGTGCCATGTTTCTTAAAATGCTCCCGTGCCATGTTTTCGGTAGGACACTGCTTGAATTTCATCTCGCCAAAGCTCCGCTCCTTTGCTGTGCCCTAAAAGAACAAAGAGAGGACAGGAAAAGATTCTGAGCAAGCCTACGTATCGTATCGAGGGTTGCATTAAAGACAGAGGCCCTCTTAAGCGATACGTTGACTGGAGGCTTAATGGCTTAATTAAGCCTTTGGCTTAATGGGGAAGCCCTGAGTGACTGAGCGCAACATGCTAAAACCGTAAATCGTGCTTTACAGGCCACGGCTCACTCAAAAAGTGGGAGATGTCAGAAATCAAAGAGGAGGGGGGTTCCGAAGGAACGATCCTATGGAGCAACCGGTTAGGTTCCCGCGGGTGTTTCTTAGTCCCATTGCTAAAGGGGCATAGCAAAAAGCGGGGCTTTCTAAGTAGGACTGAGAACCAACAAATGCTTCAGTTGGACCGTAAATATTACTCACCTCCCAAACCAGGGAACATTTGTTGGTTTTTTTCACAGATTCCTCATCGGATTCTTCATCGTCTGCAAGAAAAATAAACTACTTAGGGTGTAAGAATGGACGAATGACTGAAGATGGATTTGTCTATTCTAAAGTATGCTCAAAATCGGTCAGATCGGAAACACCCTTTATTCAGACGAAGGTGAGAATTCTGCTGTTTCTTTAGAAAAGGCAGGAGACAGACCTCTGCGAGCCCGGTAGCTTATGGAAAGAAGGGAACTTTGGGGGACGGTAAAAGACCGGTTTGCAAAATCATCAGTTTCCCTTCGGTTGTCCTGACTTCATGTTGGTCTTTGCATTTTTGAACCGGCTCCATGTAAGGGGTGGCTGCCCCTTCCTGTTATTTTATTAAACCTCTATAAGTCGACTTTCTTCTTAGGAGAACCAAGAGGCTAATGGTGAAATAGATTTATCCAAATCTATTCAATAGAACAATCCAACGGCTGATAGAACAGCAATCGTTGTTATGGAATTCTCTTTTCCTTTTTCAACAGAATCTTTTAAACCTAAAAACAGCCATTCAAAGTTCTATCTTCTGAGTTTAGCTTGAAACCCCCAAAAGAAGAAATGGCTTTTCTGTCTTTTTGACATCTTTGGAAGATGATGTTGAGGGTAGGGCCTGAAGCGTACTACCTTCGGTTTTCTTAGGGACACTATTTCTGCAGATGGACAGAACCTTCGTGTCTGCATCCCTTTCCCAAAAACACGCTGGGTGGCGCCTTGAAACAGGTGCGGCCTTCCTGAACCCGACCTTACCTCCTCCTCCACCTGTCCTGTGGGGCCCTTGCCAGAGCTTGCAAAATGTGCTTTGAGTGCATCGCCTTGTTTTTATTTTTAAGTTTCGGCATTTTGGCAGCCCTCGGTCGATCGCTTTTATTTACTTAATCTCAATAAGCGTTTCCAGGCTGGGCCCTTAGCAGAAGTGCGCTTCCTTACCATCTCCTTTTGTGTTTGACGTCTGCTCGTCCCATTTTATTCGATGTAACATGAGCCGCTTAAATTTCTTCTGTGCTTTGGGACCTTGGAAAGAAGGCAGAAAAGGCAGAACTGACAGGCGGAATCGCAACAAGGGATGAAGTGCAACTTCGTAAACGCAACAACTGGAAGGACTGAACTCCTGATCCTTAAGAAAGCACCTGTGCCAGGTGCTCCCCTTGTGGTCACAACCATAAACTGAGACCGACTCTTGGAGCCAGAGAGATGAAATCCTTGCGTTGCTTTTCTGGGAGCAATGCACAAAGCATGTGTTTCCAAAGAACAACCCTGACATAATGGCCTGAAACCAGTTTGGTTAGTTAAGTCCAGGTTGCGCAAAGTGACACTATTTCTTTTCTGCGGCCTGCTCTGCAGATGGAGAGAACCTTCTTTTCTGTGTTCTGCGGCCTTTCAAAAAAAAAAAAAAAAAGACCAAGAGCCATCGGTCAACCCTGAAGTTGGCCGATGCCTTAATCCAGGTGCAGCCTTCCGGAATCCCCAACCTTGTTTCTCCCCCCCCCCCTTCTTCCGGAACGGGGCAGGGTCCGCACGCTGCCTGGGCCTGCTGGAAGTTTTAGCTCCTTAGAAATGCAGAGCACAATACATTATGCGACCCAGCCAGCTCGCCCATCCTCTTACCTCCTTCTACCACCACCACATTGACATCTTTGTGTAAAACCACAACTCCGGTTAAGTACAGCTGGCCAGCGTTAGCTTCGATTTTGAATTTCTTTGCTGGGTTACCTAGATTCCGGACTCTGTGGGCAAAAACAAAGGAATGTGTCAGGGAAGAGGAGGCTGCAACAGTGCAGGGGAGTAAGGTGCGCTTGCTTTGGGAACGACGGACGCTCACCTGTAAACGGCTATGTGAACGCCCTGTGAAATATCTTCCTTAAGCTTTTTCACCTTTTTCGCTTTCCTCTGTTCCACCGTCAGCTTTCGTGCAGCGTTTGCCTCCTCATGAGCTCTGCAAGCACATTGATGCAGCCCATCTAAGCACTCTGCTGGAGTGCCGCAGTGAAAGGGCAGCTTCTGGTCCTGCAAGATGCCCCTCCACAGGCTGCCCCAGCCAGGTCTGCGGCATCCCCGCTTTTATTGCTGTGCATATTTATAACCCCCCTTTTCACCAACTGGTCTCAAAGCCTCAGATTGTTAATGGAAGATGGTCAAAGGGGTCAAATGTTCTGCCCCCTCATCGGCTTCAGCATACACCAAAAGCATCTGGGAAGACCCCAGTCAGATCCTCGGCCACAGGGAGGGAGGGAGGGAGGGAGGGAGCTGGGAGAGACATCAGCCGTACTTCTGCCTCTTTGCCATCTGTGCTCGGACATGGGCTTCTACTTTGGTTGGATCCTGAACGGCTTCTGTCCCCAAAACTCGCATCAGGTTGGAGATTCGGACTGCAGAGAGAGAAGAGGCAACGAGGGTGTTTGCTGGTGTCCCTCAAGAGCCTTCCCCTCCCTCAGGCTGCTCCAAAGAGGCTGCACTACCTTTTGGCTCTGGAGGGGGCATCAGGCCGAGCCGCACTTTCTCCTGCAGCTCCTTCTGGGCTTCCCGGCGGGTCTGGCGACGGAGCTTCTTCTGCTCTTTTTTGGTCAGGTAAACTCCAAGGGTCACAGGCAGGTCACTGTCCACTGCGGAGAAAGATACATTATTCTGTTTTTTCCCTGAGAAAGTCAAGGAATTGGGGGGGGGGGGTGTCAACTGCTCCCAAGACTGCTCTTCCCCCTCCGAAATGGAGTTGGCAGGTGGGGAGGGGGCAGTTTCAAGGACAGGTTCTGCCTCTGCCTCCCTCAGAGAGGGAG